GGTGCTTTCACATCTGTAGTTCAGTTCATTATGGTTGGAACCAAGGGCGAAAAATTACACTTTGTAGCTTTTTTCAGGCGTTTTGGTTCCTTTTCACGCCACACTGATTTCCCTGGTCCAAATCGAGTTGATGAGATGATGAAACTACCCAAAATGCAGTCACATGACAACATCAACATCACTCGTTGACCGGATGTGTCTTGAACAGATTTCCATAACTGCACTTCGATTGGTCAGAATTCGCTGTTCTTCGAGTTTTTGAAAGTTGGGATTACCGGACATTGGCCGGGAAAAAAATGAAATGACAGACAAAATTAAATCTCTCCGGTCGAATTGTCTGATTATGGCCTAATTTTAATTTAAATGATTACATTTCTATGAGGCTCCGCACTGCCTCACAACTCCAAGTTTGTCTGTGCAAACGTTCAACAAATATTAGTCCTCATCCCATAATGTACAGCGCAGTGGACTATGGCAGCTGGTTTAGTCCAAAAAATGCGCAGTTCTTTGGTAGTTGGGTCTGTTCGAGGTTGAATCACATTTTCACCACAATGGAAACGCTCCAGAGTTCATTTGAAAGCGTACCTAGACCTCGTCCGCTTTTGTTGCACACCCGAAGTGCAATTGTTGCATTCACACCAGCCCAAATGAACCGCACCAATGACCAAAACGAACTCTAGTACGATTCAACCAAACTAAACGAGGCAGGTGTGAAAGCACCCTAAAGCATGAGGTTATTTAACGCCGTCTCTCTCTTGTGACGCTTTGCAGACTCTGCTCTGGCTGTGTGCGTTCATGTGTTTTAGAGGAGGTGTGGCAATCGTAAGATTTTTACCTTTTTATATTAAAACTCAGGGGGTTTGCTATACCTTAAGCACTACATTGGTGGTGAAGTGTTCTGCAAGTCTGTTGATGGAGTCGTTTAGTTTGTCAAAGGTCTGACCAAAGTTTCCCTCAACTGGGATTTTCTCTGTGCACCATGATGTCATCACTGAGAGAGAAAGGGAGGGAAAAAATTAATAATCCTGATTTCTAAATTTAAAAATAAGATACAACATGCAAATATTACCTCTCATGATATCACACAGGAAGTGGAATTGCATAGGAATGCAGAGAAAGTTGTTTATAAGAGGCGCTTGAATGGTATTCATACACTCTTTCCACTTAGTACTGAACCAATCCTGACATCTGCTAATTCCCTGCTGCACCACATCTGTTACACATAACATCATTTAGACAAAGCTAAACTTAAAACCTCTATCATACACAGTCTATAATAGCTTGTTTTCTTCTCATTTACACTCACAGTCACAACGGGCTCTAGTCTTCTCTACATACTCCTCCTGAGTGCTGTTGGCCGTATGGACGGACTCCTTACCAAGAGAGTCATATCCGTACCGTCCCATTACCTCATCCCGGATCTTCTGGAACTTTTTGCTCACTTTTTCAGAGATTTTTTGAAATTCCTCACTGTCATTCTAAAAAGAAAGATGTTTGTGGAACAGATTTCCATGACTGATCAGCATAATTACATGATCAGCAAATTGTAGAGTGTCAGGACTCACCACTATCTCCTGCACTACTTGCACGTAAGGCTCTGTCAGCATTCTCCACATCACCTTGCTGTGTGTGATCTGCAGGTCTATGTTACAACCCATGGAGGAAGCCACATCCTGCACGTTATGCTGGATGTTTGCAATTGGGCCTGATGGGAAGAGCACAGGAGATGGGTCAAAACTAAAGAAAGTCTATGTTTGAGGTATGTGCTTTGTAGTGTCATTTTAAGTCACAAAGTTGAAATATTCCTGTCCCTAAGATTTTTACCATGGTAAAGTCCATGCAGCACAAAAACCATCAGGTATGTCCGACCTTGAGATCCAATCATACTAGGAAACATCAGGAGAACGGAGCAGCGGAACAGTTTGGAAAACATGCCTCCAAGGCAACACAGACCTACACAAACACACCATACAGAACACATAACGCAGACACCTGTAAGTAAAAAAAGCATATGCACTGAAGCAGAATATAATATTTTTTATCAAATGTTTACTCTCTGCAGTGTACTTGCCTACGAACACACACCCAACAACAACACGTTGTATAGCTGTCATGGCAATATTTTGCATGAGTCCGTAAAATAACCCTTAAAAACAGGTTAGAGATTAGCATCACATGTTAATTGTACTGTATAATTCATGAAACAATCATTTATAGAATACCATTAAAAATGTTGGGGTCAAATAGACTTAAGATATTAAATTCACCAAGGATGCATTAAATTAATTAAAAGTAAGAGTAAATACATTTATAATGTTAAAAAAAAAGATTTCAATTACAACTGTACTTTTTTGGGACCAATTATTTGTGCTTTCCTCGTTAACAAATTTTCAATGACTTCATTCAATGTGGAGGACGTAAATGATCAATATAAAACTAAAAATTAACTGGATTGTTGACGGGGAATGTAGCTTTCATAAGGCCCACACACACAAGATCTTTCGCTTTCTCTCACTCTGCCGTGCTCACTCACAATCATGACATAGATCCACAGCTAAATCAATGAGTATAGAAGCACTATGGTTACAATGACCTCCGATTGTGTCACAAAATTCAGAAATTATCGTACATTATAGGATTTTTTTCATCATTGATTGTACAGAGGTCAAAATTATCGTACATATACGATAATTATCATACTTCTGGCAACACTCATCTGCCCACTGTGCTGGGAACAGCAGCTCATTTGCATTTAAAGGGACAAACACAAAAACTGTGTTTTTACCAAGGGGGTAATTCATCAGCGGAAGTTGAAGCCTCACGGGAGCCGCCATTGTAGAAGAACTTCACCTGCTGTTAGCATCCCATTGACTCCCATTCATTTTGGCGTCACTTTGACAGCGAATAACTTTACATCTGAGGTGTCCAAAGATTTAATTTGTTCATTATTTATTTGTAAAGAAACACGACAATGTATAAAAGGACTTCATTACTTACTGTATCTTACGTTACGGCCCTGTAGAAGCCGTTTTTGTAAAAACAGGCTGACGATTGTGTCATAACCACGCAACTTTCTATCGCACAATAGAGACATTACCATATAGACAGGAGGAAAAGCTCGCAGGCAATCTTTTACTGCCTATGAGGCAATCAGGGGTACATGGAGCCATAAAGTCAAGGGAGAAGTCCATAGATAGAAAGTTCATAAAAGCAACGGGACAAAAAATTACGTTTTTGAGGAATTCGGTGATTCAGATTTGTCTAAGCACAGCTACTAGAAGATTTACAACTGTCAGACTGTCGTCAAGCTCAGTTTGAGCCTGTGCAGTCGCTCAGACATCAGGCAGGAATTTAATCAGTCTTCTCCATTGAAATCAATGGGGTCACTGTGTCCATTTCTTTTACTGTCTGTGGTTTTTACTCACACTCAAAAAATGACATCTTATATAAAAATATATGTACGGTATTTTGAGCTAAAACTTCACATACATACTCTTGGACATCAAAGACTTATTTTACATCTTGTGAAAGGGTATTATACCACCCCTTTAAATAAATGCAGCCTTGGTGTTCATAAGAGACATACGATATATATATATATATATATATGAAGAGTTCAGATGCAAAAGCCTCTAAATGCCATTTGAAATTTTCTTCTTTAATGATGATTTTTATCAAACTTGTATATTTAAGTTCAGTAATTTCACTTAAATAACAATTAATAGGTAATTATCATTGCCATTTAAGTGAAATCACTGAACTTAAATATACAAGCTTGATAAAAATGATCATTCTAGAAGAAAATTTCAAATGGCACTTAGAGGCTTTTGCATCTGAACTCTTCATATATACATATATATATATAAGAGACAGATGTTAAAAAAAAAAACACTTTAAAAATCTTACAGACAGACCCCACACTTTTTAATGGTAACATTAGTATGCTTACCAGATTTTGCAAAGCTACCTACCCACACCACTCAAAGCTCCAAACACAGCCCCCGTGAGACGTCGGACCACAGGAAACTCTGACAAGGGGCCAAACAGTAACCTATGAACTCTAGGTGGCAGAATGCGCTTACACACCTGCTCCAATGCTGCAAATTCACACCAAAAAAAGAGTCAAATCTATGCTGGGCAGCTACTAATAAATTTTGAGTGTTATCTAAAAACAAAATGTAAGATAAACACACTTGAGTGGGGTGTTTTACATCTGGTTTCCCCAAGACACTCCATTGCTGGTTTCTTCTTCACTGCTATACAAGAACACTGACTGCTAAAGAAAGCCGTTTTAAAAGATGCAACAATATTCCGTTAGATTGAACCCCGTGGATTAGGTGTAAAAAAAAAACCGTTTTTACATTTTTAGTATAAGCATTTGAATGGGGCCAGAAATACATCATCCGTTTACCTGTCAATAAAAAAGTGAAACTTGGATCAAAAATTGAGTAACGTTTGCTATAACGTTATTTTGCTTTGAAAAGCAAGTTATTACTGCAAGCTCTACAGTGGACAGGTAAGTTATAGGCCTAACTAACAATTCATATTTCCTTTTTTAATGGCTAAACATCTAATAAAGTTGCTTCCTTTTTTATTTTTGTACTTCCTTTCTCTTTAGGATGGCTCTAAATGGACCTTTTTAATGTCTCTCGGTAGGAAAATATCGCGTAGGCGTCGCTCAGCGATACGTCAGGTGAAGCGCAGCCTTGCTGGATTTACTCTGGGTTTGTTCCTCGCTTCAGTGTACGGTATGACAGCGCTGTTCATCCAGAACAACGATCTCTGGTTCTGCGTCACCACTACCGGCATCATCGCCGCTTTGGCTGGGTTTGGATCGGGTCTTTCCGGCCGCGTGCGCACCAACGTCATGCTGATGATCCCAATGCTGTGCTCGAGTAACTAAACACTGTCAATCTTTCATAAACGTATTCTGTGTTGGAACATGTGAACACGTTAAGTTGCTAAATATAATTTAAAATTTAAGCCTATAATATGAGCAGATATAGGGGAGACCTGGGCTATTTGTCAGAAAGGAAAGAAAAAAAATAAGAAAAGAATGAATATTTCCACTTTTGCTGTCCATGGGGGAAAGGTTAAAGGCCTACAATTTATAATGCTTGTATAGGCTGTTTACATGACCACTATATGCATTTCATCTAAATGTAAATATTCAAAACAATTATGAAAAAAACACAACAAGTTCTTAAACTGTAAAAATGTAATCGGTAATGTACAAATATAGCAAAACATTAACATATAAAATGTATGGTACAATTATAACAACTGAGTACATAGTGCATTTTACATTGTGTATAGTGTGTGATTTGGGACTTAATTTTCGGACATATTACTTTGTTGGCTTGATTTTTCGTGTACTATATATATAGTAGGGAAGAATTTGATTTTCACAGCGCTAGTCTCCTCTAAATCTCCTTTGAATTAGCTTTAAAACTACTCTGAAATCATCTGTATGATTTATTAATTATTATAGCTTTAAAACTACTCTGAAATCATCTGTATGATTTATTAATTATTACTATCATCATCAATAATTTATCACCTCTTAGTTTTCCTAATTGTATTGCTCATCATAACACCTCTCACACATTTTTTATTTTTTTTTGCTTTTAAGCCAGGGGTAAAAAACTCCTTCTTTTCCTCATCTGTACCTTGGTTATCCATGGCCCCGTGAGTAACACAATGGAGAATGTTGAACGGGCCGCAGACAGTGTGATCTGTGGTGCAGAACTTGCCATGAATCAGACCCAACAACTCCTACAGCGTGCCGCCAACCCACTGCTACGTGAGTCCATCTGCAAGATCATCATGTCAACAATCCCCCTCTTTCAAAAACACCAACATCTGCTCTAAACTAAATAGGGAGAATATTTAGAATTTCACTTTATTCACTTGAAAAGATAGTGTACAAGAGTAAATTCTCATCATTTATTCACCCTCACCTTTTTTTTCTGCAAAACACGGTAGATGTCTCAGTATTTGTTTATTTTTTGTCCATACGATTCACTGTGTAGACAAAATCAGTTCTTCAAAATGTCTTCTGTTTTGCAGAAAAAAATTTGTTTGATAAAAAACTGATGTTTTACCATTATAATAATAAAATATAATATATTTATTTAATATAGTGGCTAAAATATTTCTACAACTAACCCTAACCCTGTATGTGTGTGTATATATATTCTCAAAGTCTTTTGGTTTACTTAAAAATACAGTTGTTTGTTGTACATATTTTTGTTTTGATATTCTAAAAATGCCTTTTTTTAGCGGCCCTGAGTAAGATTAAGGAGATTGCGAGGAATGCTTACTCAATGGCAGGCCGAGTACAAAACCTCATCAGAGCTCTGACGGAATCTGTGCGTCATGTTGGTGAGTGAATCAGTCGACCAAACATCCTGTATAACGCCAT